AGACTAGTAGTCTCTGCACTACCAGGGACGCGTCGCCAAGAAACCCACTCACGAAGATGCTGCGGTGAGAGGGTCTCCAGCTGACAGTGTTGCCGCTGCTGTCCAGTACCTCCAGCACCATAACCTCCACCACCAGGATGACCTCGCTAAATAACCCACTCACGAAGCTGTTGTGGCGAGAGATTTTCTTGGCGTCGAGACTGCCATTGTTGTCCAGTGCCGCCATCACGTGTGAAATCCCAAGCTCCAGGACCAGAGCGGCCTCGCCGAACAACCCACTCGCGAAGCTGCTGCGTAGATAGAGTCTCCGACTTACACTGCTGCTGCTGTCCACCGCTAGACGCTACTACGACTGTGATAGTGGCCATGACAGGCAGTGGCAGTTAGTTGCAGCGGCGCAAGGGCATCAACAGCGACCACTGTAGTTGCAGCTGTAGCAGTAGTGGTATTCTCTGTAGTGGCAGGGCAGGGCAGCACGCAGGCTGCAGGGCATGGCTGCACGCGGGTTGCAGGGTAGGGCACCGCGCGGGCTACAGGGCAGGGCACTGTGTGGTGTGCAGGGCAGGGCGGCGCGCGGGCTACAGGGCTACATGGGCAGGGCAGCGCACGGGATGCAGGGCAGTGCAGCGCGCGGGCTGCAGGGCAGGGCAACGAGCAGGCTGCAGGGCAGGGTGGCGTGCGAGCTGCAGGGCAGGGCGGCGCGTGGACTGCAGGGCAGCCGGGCGCGGGCAGGGTAGAGCGCGCGTAGGCAGCGCGCGTGTGGGCAGGGCGCACGTAGGCGGCGCGCGTGCGGGCAGAGCGCGCTTGGGCATCGCGCGGCGAGCAGGGCAGCGCGGGCAGCAGCGCAGCACGCGCGGCAGCAGAGCAGCGCGCAGCGGGGCAGTGTGGGACAGGGCAGCACGATAGCGCTGGGCAATGCAGTGCACGCGAGCGGCGAGCAGGGCAGCGCGCGGCGGCAAGCAGGGCAGGGCGGCACGCGGGCAGCAGGGCAGGGCGGCGCGCGGGCTGCAGGGCAGGGCAGGGCAGGAAAAACGGACAGTTCGTATGGTTGGTGGGCCCTAACGGAGCGGTCATATGGAGGGACCTGCTCTGAATACCATATCAGAAATAGCAGGCAAGAATGATTGACTAGTGGGGAAGAGTGAGTACAAGAACTAGGAATGACCCAAGGTGTTGTACTCCTTAGAGTATGCCCCACTATAGCCTAGAGACAACAAATGCAATTTGACACGGCGAACCGGCACCGTTGATGTCATTGATGCAATCGCGAGCGTCCGTCGTGCTGTCTGAGTCACTGCGAAAGCACTCTCCCCCCCCCCCCCCCCTTAGAAAAATATTGCCCACCAAAATGTGCACATCTGCACAGGCAAGAAACCACAACCACATTGTACGCCGAGGGTAGGACAGGGTACCAAGTGTTAGCAGCTGCACTGTAGAAATTGTCGTCGGTGGCGAAATCCGGCTGTTAAAAACTCTTGAAAAATCTATGGGTAAACCTTTTCGATGTCCCGTGATTTTTTTTTTTTTTTTCCGTTGATATTTTGACACGGCTGCTGCTGCAGAATCTTCAATTGGCAGCAATTGCCATCCGAATATCTTCTTGTTGTCGATATGTCGTGGCAAAATCAGAACCCGTGATTGCTGCAGCATCTCAACCGAAATTTCTGTTGGGAAAATAAATTTGACTTATGCAATTCGGAAGTTCGATAGTATAAAAATACAGTAGTATCGTAGTATTGCTATATGTGTGCATGTTACTGTAGCAGGTGTCCCTTCGCGTGAGTTACATGTAGTAGTGCGAACAATCTCGTAACTGTTCGCTGTCAAACTTATATTCTATAGTCTGTTTAGGCTGTAGTGGGGTAGTTCTTACAGGGTACAACACTTTTAGGTTTCCTATATGTACCCACTTGCTTTCTAGTTCAGTCATTCATTCGCTCAAATTCTAACATGGTATTCTGAGCAGGTTCCCTAGTGGAAACGTTTTTAAGGGCCCACCACTAGATTTTTTTTCCTGCCCTGCCCGAAGCGCACATCGCGCCTTCCCTGTCGCGGCCCCTAGCCAGTCGCGGCCCCTAGCCCGTCGCGGCCCCTAGCCCGTCGCGGCCCCTAGCCCGTCGCGGCCTCTAGCCCGTCGCGAACCCTAGCCCGTCGCGGCCCCCAACAACTGGCGCGCCCCTGCCGGCCCCTGCTGACGCGCCCCTGCCGGCCCCTGCTGACGCGCCCCTGCTGGCGCGCCCCTGCCGGCCCCTGCTGACGCGCCCCTGCTGGCCCCTGCTGGCGCGGCCCCTGCTGGCGCGCCCCCCTACTGGCGCGGCCCCTGCAGTCGTGGCCCCCCCCCTGCCGTCGCCACCCCTACTGGCGCGGCCCCTTCTGGCGCGGCCCCTGATGTCACGGCCCGCCCCTGCACCCGTCTCTGGTAAGCCGAGCCGCGCCGCCCAGCTGAGCCGCGCCGCCCAGCCGAGCCGCGCCGCCCAGCCGAGCCGCGCCGCCCAGCCGAGCCGCGCCGCCCAGCCGAGCCGCGCCGCCCTGCCGAGCCGCACTGCCCTACTGAGCCGCACTGCCTTGCACTGCCCTACTGCCTCTGCTACTACTGCTGCTACTGCTGCTATTGCTGCTACTGCTGCTACTCTTGCTACTGCTCCTACTGCTGCTATGGCTAGTCCTACCGTTCTCACCTTTGATGCTGAGGGACGTGCAATTGACTTTGACGTGTGGGTTGACGACCTACAGCTCTTTCTTCAGTGTGATTCTAAGGATGGGGTATCCCTTTTCGATCACACGTCCGGTGTTTCTACTGCTCCTGCCGCCACTGCTGACAGTACGGTTCGCTCGCAGTGGACCACTCGTGACGCTGTTGCTCGTCTTGGTGTTCGTAGTCACCTGCCGCCTGCTGAGCGCGCGCATTTTGGCCAGTACAAGACTGCTCAGTCTTTGTACGACGCTGTAGTTGCACGCTACTCCTCCCCTGCCACTGCTGCCCTCAGCCGCCTCATGCTACCGTACCTTTTCCCTGACCTTGCCGCCTTTGCCACAGTCGCTGACCTAGTTGCTCACCTTCGCACTAGTGACGCCCGCTACCGCGCTGCCCTTCCCACTGAGTTCTATGCCAAGAACCCCCCCCCCATGTACATCACCCTTTACTACCTAGTCACCCGCCTCCCTGACTCCCTTTCTTCAGTCAGGGACCACTTTCTCTCCCTTTGCCCCACCGAGCTGACTGTTGACCTGCTCGAGGAGCGCCTTGCTGCAGCTGAGAAGAGAATCTTAGCTGTAGGTGCTTCTCGCAGCGACCGTCGCACCCCTTTCTTTGAGGGGTGTTCCCCTGTCCCCCTTCTCCCCTCTGTTGCTTCTGCTGCTGCTGTCGACCTCGTTGGCACTGAGGAGGTCGGAGCTGCGTCTGCCCCTAGTGGGAGACGCTGCAACAGCAAGGGCAAGGGGAGCAAGGGTGGTGGAGGGGGCGGCGGGGGAAGCAGTGGAGGAGGAGGAGGTGACGGTGGAGGTGGGGGTGGTACCGGGAGTGGGGGCGTCAGTGGCGGCGGTGTAGGTGGTGGCGGCAGTGGCGGAAGTGGTGGAGGCAGCGGCAGCGGTGGTGGAGGTGGCGGCGGGGTGGTGCTGGTCGAGGTGCAGCCGCGCAGCGTGGAGGCTTTGGTGGCAGCCAGCGCCAGCAGCAGCTGCGCTCCCGTGAGACCCCGTCGGTCCAGCAGCTTCGTGAGTGGTACGCTGGGCGTGGGAGGTCTGGGGGTGCAGGTCCCTGCACTTACGTTCTTCGCACCGGCAGTCGTCATGGGGAGGCGTGTGGGCTGCCACACACTACGCAGCGCTGCTTCGGTCGCTTGACTGACGCCTGGCGTGCCCAGTTTCCTGACGCTGTTGAGCGCCCTCGCTGGCATGATCTGCTTCTGTAGAATGTGCCTATCTTTGATCTTGATTTCGATGCTATCCTTGCTGCCATGTATGCTTTTGCTGATAGTGCTGAGGGTGACTGTTACCTGAGTGTCCCGCCCGACCCGGGCATTGCGGCTACTGCTCTAGGTGCTAGTGCGTCTGCTGCTCCAGGTACTGGTGCGTCTGCTGCTCCAGGTGCTGGTGCGTCTGCTCTCTCTAGTACTGCACCTACTGAGGCCTTGCACACTTTCACACTTGACTCTGGTGCTTCGCGCTCTTTCTTTAGAGACAGCACCACACTCACGCCGCTCAGTCGGCCTGTTGCAGTCTCCCTTGCTGACCCCTCTGGGGGCCCAGTCCTTGCACACTCTTCCACGGTTCTACCGTGTCCTGCGGCCCCGTCGGGCTTGCTGTCGGGACTCCACCTCCCCTCGTTCTCTACGAACCTGGTGAGTGGAGCTGACCTCCAGGACGCGTGGGTTGACCAGTTCACCCCTGGAGGTCAGCGTGTGATCCACTGCACTTGCTCTCGGATGGGCCGCCACCTGGCCACGTTCACCCGTCGTCCAGGGTCGAGTCTGTACACACTGACTACTGCGCCTCCTCCGGTCTCTGCGTCTGGTCAGGTAGCTGCGTCTAGTCAGGTCTTTGCTGCCGCGTCCATGTTTAGTCCTGCGTCTGCCCCCTGCTCGTGTCGTCCTCTGTCGCACGAGACTCTCCTTTGGCACCACCGCCTTGGTCACCCCTCCCTGCCTCGTCTTCGAGGTATGGCCTCCCGTGCCCTTGTCTCGGGTCTACCCCGGTCCCACCCTCCCCTTGCTGGTCGTTAATTCCTGCTGGTCGTTGACGACTACTCGCGTTACACCACAGTCTTCCCCTTGCGCAGCAAGGGTGAGGTCCCTGAGGTGCTGATCGACTGGATCCGCGGTGCTCGTCGCCAGCTCAGTGAGAGTTTTGGCTCGGACCTTCCTGTTCTGCGTCTGCACTCAGACAGAGGTGGGGAGTTTTCCTCCGACCTCCTGAGGGCCTTCTGTCGTTCAAAGGGCATCCGCCAGACGTTCACGCTTCCAGCCTCCCCGCAGAAAAATGGGATTGCTGAGCGCCGCATTGGCATGGTCATGGACGTCGCTCGTACGTCCATGATCCATGCGGCTGCTCCCCATTTTCTGTGGCCGTTCGCGGTTCAGTACGCTGCGCATCAGATCAACCTTCAGCCTCGTGTCTCCTTGCCGGAGACCACACCTACTCTGCGGTGGACGGGGAAGGTTGGCGATGCGTCCGCGTTCCGTGTTTGGGGATCTCGAGCTTTTGTCCGCGATACTACAGCGGACAAGCTGTCCTCCTGTGCCGTTCCCTGTGTCTTCCTTCGCTTCCCTCCTGACGCACCCGGGTGGCAGTTCTACCACCCCACCTCGCGTCGTGTTTTGTCCTCTCAGGACGTCACGTTTGACGAGTCGGTGTCTTACTACCGTCTCTTTCCCTACCGCACTGCCTCTCTCCCCCCCCCCACGGCTCTTCCTAGCACCAAGTACTCCCCCGGTAGACCCCCTCCCCCCCCAGGGTCCTGCCCCCTCAGGTGTGTCCCAGGTAGACCCTGCTGAGCCGGTCGAGGTAGCTGTCGACTCAGGTGCTACTAGGGGTGCTGAGCCTGCGGGTGCGGGGACTGGGGGTGCCGAGCCTGGGGTTTCTGTGTCTGGGGGTGCTGCGTCTGGGGGTGCTGAGCCTGGGCGTGTGGAGCCTGAGGGTACTGCGTCTGGAGGTGCTGAGCCTTCGCGTGCTGAGTCTGGCGGTGCTCTAGGGGTCCCGTCGCGGCGGGAGCCGCTCTCTCCACAGCAGCTTTGTGAGTGGTACTCTCGGCGCTGTCGAGGTGCTGCTGGTGCTGGAGGTGCTGCTAGGGCTGCTGGTGGTGCTACTGGTGCTGGAGCTGCTGCTGGAGGTGCTACTGGTGCTGGAGGTGCTGCTAGGGCTACTGGTGGTGCTAGTGGTGCTGCTGGAGCTGCTGGTGCTGCTGGAGCTGCTGGAGGTGCTGGTGCTGCTGGAGCTGCTGGAGGTACTCCTGGTGCTGGAGATGTTGCTGGTGCTGGAGCTACTGCTGGAGCTGCTGGAGGTGCTGGTACTGCTGGAGCTGCTGGAGGCGCTGCTGGTGCTGGAGGTGCTGCTAGGGCTGCTGGTGGTGCTCCTGGTGCTGGAGGTGTTGCTGGTGCTGGAGCTGCTGCTGGAGCTGTTGGAGGTGCTGGTGCTGCTGGAGCTGCTGGAGGTGCTGCTGGTGCTGGAGGTGCTGCTGGAGCTGCTGGCGGTGATACTGGTGCTGGAGGAGCTGCTGGAGGCGCTGCGCGGCCGCGGCCGTACTACGTTCCTCTACTTCAGCAGGTTCTTGGTTCCCCGCCTTCTCCCGGTCCTCCTCCTCCTTTCCTGAGCCCACCGCCTGTCCAGTCCCGGTCGCAGTTACAGCCGGCCTCTCCACTACCTGGTCCTTCTCCTTACTCTGGACCGACTAGAGGTCTTACGGAGCGTCGTGAGCCTGAGTCGGATGCACTAGACATCCCGACCCCGCGCTCTTACGCAGAGGCGATAGAGGGTCCCTACTCCTCTCAGTGGCAGGCAGCCATGGATGCCGAGATGGCTTCCTGGAAGTCCACAGGCACCTACGTAGACGAGGTTCCCCCACCTGGGGCGAACATCGTCAGTGGCATGTGGATCTTCAGGGTGAAGCGGCCGCCGGGTTCTCCGCCTGCCTTCAAGGTGCGTTACGTTGCACGTGGCTTCAGTCAGCGACAGGGAGTTGACTTCTTTCAGACCTTCTCCCCTACCCCGAAGATGACCACTCTTCGGGTACTGCTGCACGTTGCTGCTCAGCGTGACTACGAGCTCCACTCGCTTGACTTCAGCACAGCCTTCCTACAGGGCAGCCTGCACGAGGAGATCTGGCTGCGCCGCCCACCTGGCTTCACTGGGTCGTTTCCAGCTGGTACCCAGTGGAGCCTCCGGCGGCCAGTCTACGGTCTTCGTCAGGCACCCCGTGAGTGGCACGACACACTCAGGACGACTTTTGCTGCTCTTGGTTTTGCTCCTTCCACTTCTGACCCTTCTCTGTTTTTACGCCCTGACACTACTCTGCCGCCGTTCTACGTTCTCGTGTACGTAGACGACCTCGTCTTTGCTACTGCTGACACTGAGGCACTCGCCCACGTGAAGTCTGAGCTGCAGAAGAGACACACGTGCACAGACCTGGGTGAGCTGACAAGCTATCTTGGCTTGCGGATCACCCGGGACAGAGCACAGCGCACCACTACTTCACTCAGTCACACATGGTGCAGCAGGTCCTTCAGCGCTTCGGCTTCACGTACTCCTCGCCACAGTCCACTCCTCTGCCTACCGGTCACTCGCTCTCAGCTCCACCTTCGGACGAGTCCGTAGAGCCGAGTGGCCCGTATCCAGAGCTTGTGGGCTGCCTCATGTACCTGATGACTTGCACACGACCTGACCTCGCATACCCTCTCAGCCTTCTGGCTCGCTACGTGGCTCCCGGCAGGCACCGAAAGGTGCACTGGGATGCTGCGAAGAGGGTGTTGCGATACTTGTGCAGTACATTGGGCATGGGGCTCGTGCTTGGAGGACGGGCTCGAGTTGTCCTCACTAGTCACGCTGACGCCTCCTGGGTTGACGACTTGGCTACGCAGCGGTCGTCACAGGGTTACACCTTCAGTCTTGGCTCCGGTTCTGTCTCTTGGCGGTCTACCCGCTCTTCTTCTGTTCTCAGCTCCAGTTGTGAGGCTGAGATCTACGCTGGGGCCATGGCTGCACAGGAGCTACGCTGGCTCACCTACCTGCTGACCGACTTGGGAGAGGCGCCTCGTTCTCCTCCAGTTCTGTACGTCGACAACAAGGCCATGCTGGCCTTGTGTCAGGAGCACAGACTGGAGCACAGAACGAAGCACATTTCTCTGCGCTACTTCCTTGCTCGAGAGTTGCAGCAGCGTGGCCAGCTTCGTCTTGCTTACGTGGCCTCTCAGGCCAACACTGCTGATGTTTTCACCAAGGCACTTCAGCCTTGTGATCATCAGCGTTTTTGTACTGTGTTAGGCCTTGTACCTACAGTGCCTCACTTGCTTTCTTCTTGACTCTGCCTGTACTGTACTCTTTATACATATACCTGCATGCTTACACTTGCTAGGTTGTGTTCACAGTATTGTTTGTTCTCCTTTATATAACTCTGCATGTGAACTGGCCTTGTGGCCATTTGCTTGTGCTCAGACTGCGTGGGCTTGCTTTGCCTTTCTTGACTGGTCTTGTGACCTCTTGTTCTCCCCCACTTTGCCTATGGGGGTGTGTAAAACTTATATTCTATAGTCTGTTTAGGCTGTAGTGGGGTAGTTCTTACAGGGTACAACACTTTTAGGTTTCCTATATGTACCCACCTGCTTTCTAGTTCAGTCATTCATTCGCTCACATTCTAACATTCGCATGACACTGGATTATACCTCTTCATAGAGTCGACTCGATATCTAGCACATTTCTGTCATTGGTCCACTGGTGATCCCCGATTGATCCTAGGGAAGGGTTACAAGCATGTTGGCCTGCGGGGTTATGGGCGCACTGACCCGCTACTTAACAAGCCCTTTTATCCCAATGGTCTAGTGGTTGGGATTCTGGCAGTTTCATGAACAGGTACGTCTCTGAATAGGTATGTCTTAGACTATAAATCTCTTGTATCTTTTCTCTATTATTAATTCTTGTTCTCACACTTGACCAGCACAGGAATTCAAGTCTTCCGCTGCAATACATTACAGAGACTTAACTTTAAGGTCCTAAGACTTTTTTCTCAGCTTAACATGGTATGAGAGTAGGAGAGTTTACGATCTCCTAGTTTTTACAAATCCTCAGTTACTAAAGTCTTTATTATGTGGGCAAACTTACAATCATGACGAATAGCAACAATGGTAAACCCCACTTGCAAAGCGGAGGTGGTGGCTCGCAGCAGCCCTCTGCACCACCACTATCTGGCTCTAGCTTCTCAGGAGTGACCTTTGCCAGCCCTGCTCCAATAGCTGCATCTGCAACTAGACCAGGAGGCGTTGGAGGATCGTCCCAGTCCTTCGCGTTCAACGCTGCAACAAGAGATGCTTCCGCTAGAAAAAAATCATAGTGAAATTTTGGTAATACCACGGCAGGAAGGACGAGAAGACGCCATTACCTTCATCATATCTACGTCATTACCTTCATCGACGCAGCTATATGCTATGTCTGGCTTGTGCTTATTGTTTCGCGTGATCTCGCTAACGAAGCATTCATGGCGTGGCTACATGCAGCTCAACGAGAAAGTGACATGAAGCTGAAAAAAATCCAGACTGGCAGTGCTCTCTAATACATCTCACAGCGTTTCAGTACCTACCTTGCGGAAAGGGGAATCAAGAAGCTACAGTCGCTGCCTTACCAGCATCAACAGCAAGGTGTGGCAGAATGGATGAACAGGTTCCTGCAGAACACCATGCGCAAGCTGCTCATGGAAGCGCACCTACCAGCAGGACAGTGGCCGTTTGCAATGGACCACGCAGTTCTGCTCCACAATCTTCTGTCTTCAACCCCCCTGCCAAACAACTCCTCACCACACAAAGAATGGACCAAGAAGCTTGGCAGTACAAAAATGTTACGCGTCTTAGGTTACATGGTACAATATCGGCCTCCGTATACACCTGCACGAAGGTTTTCATAGAGGGCACGATGGGGAACACATTTCGGCATCGAAAAGCAGTTTGCAGCATGGAAAATCAGGGATGTCGAAGATCAGGTTACAGTACCGGCACGTGACGTCCTCTTCTAGGAACGACTCACATTCCCCACTTGGCAGAGGCACCATGCCAACCGCGAAGATTTGACAACTGGATTTTCAGGTACACGTACCTTCGCTACAGAAGCCGACGAAACTGACGCGGTGGAGGAAGCTGTCTCGGGTGCGTCACCAGCTGCAATTGCCACCCCTTACTGCTCTGTTCCGATTGAGATTGATGAGGAAGATCCTCACAACGATGTCAACGCTGAGGCATAGTACGATTTCGCCGGCAACGGAGCAACTACGTCGCTTCCCGTTGCTTCTAACAAAAGGGAACGGTTGGGTCCTGGTTTTATTTTTGATCCCGAAGCTGGTGACGAAGTTGCTACTAACGAGACTGAGGAGCAGACTCGTTATCGACAGACTGGGTTACAGATACTAGGGCTCGCCGTAGCAGTTCAACCATCTCTTCCTATCAAACCAAGCACATTTCGCTTTGTTACTTCTTCGTCGAGGACGAAATCGAGCAAGGCAAGTAACAGCTCGATTACTGCCCCACGAGCGAAATGGCTGCGGACTTCTTGACCAAACGTCTGCCGCAACCAAAATTTCAGTATTGCATGATGCTGACTGGACTCGACCACATCAACACCGACAACATCGAACTCCAGAATTGAAGGAGAGTGTTGGGAAAAGAAATTTGACTTATGCAATTCAGAAGTTTGATAGTATAAAACTACAGTAGTATCGTAGTATTGCTATATGTGTGCATAAACTGTAGCAGGTGTCCCTTCGTGTGAGTTACAGGGAGTGTCAGAATATTTTAGTGCTTACATTTGCGTAGGCTATAGTGGGGTAGCCCATAAGGGGTACAACCCAATTAGGGTTAGTACTTGTACCCAACTTCTGTTCAATGCATTCATTCTCGTTCGTTATCTTGACATGGTTTAAGAGCAGGTCCTTCGTTAGGACCGTTTTATTTTTTGGGCCCACCACAGCGCTGCCCCACTAGCCGCCCCGAGCGACCCTCGTGCCGCACCTGCTGCCCCGCGCGCCGCCCTCGTGCGGCCTTCCTCTCGACCATAGGCCCCGGCCCGTCGCTCGTCGCCCCTAGCCCCGGCCCGTCGCCCCTAGGCCCCGGCCCGTCGCCCGTCGCCCCTAGGCCCCGGCCCGTTGCCCGTCGCCCCTAGGCCCCCGCCCGTCGCCCCTAGGCCCCGGCCCGTCGCCCGTCGCCCCCCCTAGGCCCCGACCCGACGCCCCTAGGCCCCGGCCCCGACCCGATGCCCCTAGGCCTCGGCCCCGACCCGACGCCCCTAGGGCCCGGCCCCGACCCGTCGCCCGTCGCCCCTAGGCCCCGGCCCGTCGCCCGTCGCCCCTAGGCCCCATCATTGACACGTCGCCCGTCGCCCCTAGGCCCCGGCCCGTCGCCTGTCGCCCCCTAGGCCCCGGCCCCGACCCGATGCCCGTAGGCCCCGGCCCCGGCCCGTCGCCCCTCGCCCCTAGGCCCCGGCCCGTCGCCCGTCGCCCCTAGGCCCCGGCCCGTCGCCCGTCGCCCCTAGGCCCTGGCCCTAGCCCCGGCCCGTTGCCCGAAGGCCCCGGCCCGTCAACCCCTCGCCCCTAGGCACCGGCCCGTTGCCCCTAGCCCCGGCCCGTCGCCCGTCGCCCGTCGCCCCTAGGCCTCGGCCCGACGCCCGTAGCCCCTAAGCCCATCGCCCGTCGCCCCGCGCCCATCACCCCTAGGCCCCGGCCCGCCAGCCGACCCCAGGCCCCGCGCGCCGCCCCTTGCGGCCCGCCCCTCGCCCCTGCAGCCCGTGAGCCGCCCTTGCAGCCCCAAGCGCCGCCCCTGGTGGCCCCCTAGCCGCCCCTTGCGACCCGCCCGCCACCCCTAGGCCCTCGAGCCGCCCCTCCAACAGCCTGCTTGCCGACCCTCTCTGCTGCCT